ACAAGTGTACTTCATGTTATTAAGTTAAATGCTTACTTATATTAAAGTATTTCCCATATAAGTACATTTTCACCTCCCAGAAATCAAGATGATACGTGCTATGAACTCAGGTTGCTCACATCACAAAAACTGTATGAGTAAACACTGTCATAATTTTTTTAAGCATTTTACTTTTTATTTATTTAATCTTTATTAACTAACGTATAATATCTAAAATTTATCGTAAAATAGCTAATAAACAAAAAAAAACCATGTTTAAAAAAAATTGCTTTTCTATCAGTCTATGTCTACAAAAAAAAAAAAAAAAAAAAACCCGTTGCCATCAAGTCAATTGTGACTCATACAGACCCCACATGATAGAGTAGAACTACCCCATAAGGTTTCCTAGCCTGTAATCTTTATGCGAGCAGATTGCCAGGTCTTTTCTCCCGCAGAGCCACTGGATGGGTTCGAACAGCTAACTTTTCAGTTAGCAGCCAACTGCTTTAACCACTGTACACCAGGGCTCCTTATTCTGTGTCTAGGAAGGGAAAAAAAATCAAAGAGATACTTTGACAGGGCCTGCTACATACCCAAGTTCCTGGGTGGTACAAATGGTTATTAATGTGCTTGACTGATAACCAAAAGGTCGGAAGTTCAAGTTCACCCAGAGGTGCCATGGGAGAAAGGCCTGGCAACCTACTTCCGAAAAATCAGCCATTGAAAACCCTATGGAGTACAGTTCTACTCTGACACATGCAACATCTGCATGAGTTGGGATCCACTCAATGGCAACTGGTAAGCTATGTACCCTGACAGTGAACTGGGCCTGCACAATTCAATCCCCTCATTTAAAGAGCTCAAAATCTACTTGAGGAACCTAAGGGGCAAACTTAATGAAATTCATATTATGATAAGTATTATAGCAGAGGAATAAACAAATGGGTTAGGGAAAACAAAATGAGTAACAATTAACACTGAGCCAGGTAAATTCAAGGGGTCAGACTCTTGATGCCATTCCCTCACAAATTTTAAACCAGACAAGGGTTAGGCCCACAGAGTGAATATATGTGACATTTTTATTAGAGAGAGGTGCATCTGTTGGGGCATGTAGAAAACAATTTAGAATTCAATGACAAACTTTCTTTTTCTTATTCTTTAAGTAAAATTAGAAAACAGAGCATACAGGTAAATAATCAATGACAGAAATAAGTTGTCAATGACACCTTTGAATTTTTTTCAAAAGTCATTCTGTTCTTACTCCTAGCTTCATTCTTTCTCATGATCCTGAACAAACTAATGCTGACAAGCCTCTAGAGAGAGGAAATATCTATCATCCTCTTCATAGCCAAATCAAGACACTGTAATATACTAAGGAAGTTTCTATAGATAAAAAAGTGGCACATGAAAAGAGTACATTCACAGTATAATACCAATTCAATTTACTGACTAAATTTCATTTTGAATGAATTGAGATTCATTTTTTTCTAAATTATCTTTTCACTTACCATCAGGATTTCGATCTATCCATCAGAAGTGATGCAAAATGGGTAAGGGAAAGGGAATGCAAGGTAACAGATTATCTGTGGTGAAATTACAACACAAATTTAACACATCTATTTTAAAATATAAATTAAAATTTTCAAGATCCCATGGATGGTTTAAATGGCAACCAGATCAAACACAAGTTAACTCAAATCACAACTATAAAGTAACATGAACAAATGAAATCCAACAATATATTTGCACTTCCATTGTCAGATCTTCTTCATGTTATTCAAGTATAAATGTAGCAAAAGGAGGAAAAGGCAATTGATCTAGCCTAAGCACAAATTAGACTCAATACGTAAATGACATAGAGAGCACTAAATGAGTTGGTTAAAAATTGTTAGAAAAAAACTTGAATGAAATGCCAAATCTTGGAATATTAGTATTTCCAGACACTCTTGTTTAAAATATTGTAATTTCCGTGGATGCTACTATGGAATAACATTTCCCCAGCCCACCATCACCCCCTCCCCTGCTTTTTCTTGTTTGTCTTAGTATTCTTTAACTTTACAGATTTTTTTTAACTTTAATTTCGAGTTCACTTTGAACCAATTAATGCCTACACTCTGCTAGTTTGGCAATGATTCATAATCTTTTAAATTCTGTCTACAGAAAAGCATAATATCCAACAATGATATCTGCAACCATAAATTCACACTTATTTTACAACACTATATTTTTAAGCATTTGTTCACTTTCTGTTACCCATTTCTCTATTTGAAATTTATTTTCAATCAATGTTATTAGTTTTCCTTGAAAAAGGATAAAATAGTCAAATTAAGGTATTGGCACTATCTACAACTGTGTATTGGTAATATAACAAGAGTAAAAGGTATAATAATATCTATGATTATTAAATGCTCAATTAATGATAAATGATTGAAGATTTTAGCCAAATGTTTCTCATTCTTTTACTTCACAACTCAAAGTGCAAATAACATTAAAAATATCAATATTCATTTCAGGAATGTCCAACCAAAACATCCATCATTCCTTAATTCCCTATGATAGTTTTGTATTTCTTTATGAAGCCAGCTTTATTAAAGCCGTTTAAACATAAAAATATTTATATAACCCAAATTGTTGAAAATAAAGGTAAATAGTTAAAGTGGTCACTTCTAGCTAAAAATTATTTTTTTTTAATTTAAAGCAAAATATCTTACAAAGCAGAAGAAATAGATTTTCGAAGTATGTACAAAAGTTATAAAATCAACTCAGAGCATACAGAGTTGCCAATGCATAGGTCAGAAAGTTCACTTAGACAAAGAGAACATTTTTTTCAATTATTAAAAACACTGCCAAATAAAGTAGGCATAAATGGAAAATAAAAAGGTAAGTAAGATTCTAAAAGATTTAAAAACTAAGAAAAAAAGATGAATACAAATTTGCTGAAATATGCTATGAAGTATCACTACATTAAAGAGTTTGCTTTTAATAGAAGTACCATACAATCCAGCAATTAAAAAAAAAATTTTTAGCAGTGACTAATAATTCTTATTTTCTACCAATCAACTGATTGCCAGACTGTTAGCATAAAGAATTCACTATATATGGAACCATTGGGCCCTGGTGGTACAGTGGTTAAGAACTCAGCTGCTAACCAAAAGATCAGCAGTTCAAATCCACCAGCTGCTCTTTGGAAACTCTATGGGGCAGTTCTACTGTGTCCTATAGGGTCGCTATGTGTCGGAATCGACTCGATGGCAAAGGGTTTAGTTTTTGGTTTTTAGGTGGAAACAAAAAGAACCAAAATTAGACTCAACTAAGTTGATATTTGCAACAATCAAATCTCAACTGAACTAAAAATAACCTTTATATCTAAAAAAGAGTTTAAGAAAAACAGACCAAATTTTAGATCTGCTTTAATATCCATTCTTAAATAGTTTAACATTGAAGATTCCAAAGAGTTTTATCTAGTCACTAAAACAGTGTCTCAAACTTTGAATGCTTTAATTTTAAAGTAATCATATTCTTTTTCACTAACTCAGACTAGCCTTTTCTCTTTAGTTCAAATAAATTAAATCTGACTAGATACCATTCTTCTAGTAGGAATAAAAATACATAAAATTTGCTATTAACTGCAAAGACGAAATCAAACATTATATATGGAAATCAGCTGGACAGTCATAGCTAATTACTTAACACAACAATAACGCGGACATGCAATTTTATTTAAAACTAGAAAAGAACTTTAATAATATTTTACAATATGTTTTTCCATCTTAAACACTTAAACATTTAACTCATATCTCCAATAATTTAAAATGAGTGATTAGGCTTTTAAATTCATAAACAATTGTATGTTTACCTGTTGGTCTGGAATATGAAACAACAGCATTTCCTTCCAATTCAGATGGTATATAACTTCCTTTCAGATAAACAGAAAAGGCTACTGTTCTAGTCATCTCTGGTGCTATAAGCAATGTAAAAGTAACATGTTACACAACTTTGACTAACTGTTATTAACAACAGCTAAAATTTATCAAGCACTCATTGCATGCTAGATATTGTCCTCCATGAGGTAAATACTATTATTGTCCCCATTCTTTACACATGAGGAAACTGGAAATAGATTTAAAAGCTTGTCCAAGGTCACATAGCTAATACCAGAGCTGGGAACTGACTCCAAAACAAGGATACCTAATACTCTACTACACTGATTTTCTTTACTCAGATGAACACGCAGCATGAACAAACAGTACACAAAAGAAAAAGGCAATAGCAAAAAAAAATATTACTTTATCATGCCTAGAAAAAAGACTACAAGGGAAAATGGAAGGGGGGGTTGGAAATGGATTTAGCTATAGTGATTTAGCAGATTGTGACTGGTCTTTTATGTTAAGGTATTTGGTCTCCAACCTGAATTAGAGGGTCATAAGAGCTTTTTAACCAGAAATATGAATTGTCAGAATATGCTTTAGAAAGATAAACTGGGAAGTATTGTGAAAAATTAGAAAATAAAGCAAAAAACCAATGGTAGGGAATCACCTGCAAGGTTACTTCATTCAATCATTCAACCATTCACTCATTCAATGAGTATTTATTGAGTGTCCATTTGGAGAAATGTTTATTCAACTCCTTAGGCCATTTTTAACTGGGTAGAACACGTTAATCTAGTACTTATGTTACAAGTTTTGTGGCTATTCATTTTTCCTCAGGTGATTTTTTTTCTAAATATATGCCAGTGATTTTTTTAAGTAGTTGTGAAAGTCTATGAACTTGAATAAAATGCAAGATACTCAGCTAAGGAGGCGAAAAGAGAGGGAAGTTCTTAACTTCATAAATAAGAGAAGTCTCAACTGAACAGCAGCAGTAAACAAAATAGAAAAAGACTGGAAAGATAATTCAGAGATCATTTTAACAGGACTTGATGATAACTTGGATGTAAGTGGTAGGGGCGAGGGAGTCTAAAGAAATAAATCTTACTAAGTTGCCATTTATGAAGTGTCTAGTATTTTAGGCATTATCACAGATATCTTACATAGATACATTATCTGAGTTCTCAAAATAGCATTCAAAGTTTGAGACATTGTTTTAAAACTCTTTGGAATCTTCAATGTTAAACTATTTAAGAACGGATATTAAAGCAGATCTAAAATTTGGTCTGTTTTTCTTAAAGAAACTCTTTTTTAGATATAAAGGTTATTTTTAGTTCATTTGAGATTTGATTATTGCAAATATCAACTTAGTTGAGTCTAATTTTATGGTTCTTTTTGTTTTTACCTAAAAACCAAAAACTAAACCCTTTGCCATCGAGTCGATTCCGACTCAGAGCTATTTTAGACAGATATTATTATCCCCTTTTGGCATATTAAAAAAAACTGAGTCCCCAAGTAAATACTGAGTAATTACTAAGTAATTTGTTCAAGGTTACATATCGTGTGAGCCTCAGAGCCAGGATTCAAATTCAGTCCAGACTCCAAAGCCAATATTCTTTCCTCAAACCCTTACTGATCCACTGAATAGGTCACTAGAGACAAACAAAAAAAGAAAGCCTTTCAAATTATAATATTGTATTAATTACAGATCCAACTAGTTAAGAAAAGCACTTGGAAATCTATAATCCTAAAAAACTAACTCAACTCAACAGCTACTGTTTGAATGCTCCTGCTTGATGCCTGAAGAAAATACAAGCAAAACATAACACAACCACTGATTTTGGGAAACTCCCAGTCTTATTATTCAGACAGGAAACATAGACATTAAAAAAAAAAAAAGAAGGCTCACACCATGGTAAACTTTAAGCTAAAACAAAGGCCTTACCCATAAATTCAAAGGTAAACTGATCGCAGGTCAATACTAATGGTGGTTGCACATAAACTGATAATTTGGCTTTTTGTGATGCCAATCGACTCTGCAGTGTGACCTAAGGAAACAGAAATTGTAATTAATAGAAAAGGACATCTTATCCAAGTGGGTAGAATATCACAACTACTTAAAAGATCACTGACATATAATTAGGAAGAAATCACCTGTGGCAAAATGAGTAGCCACAAAATATGTAACATAAGTAGTAGACTAAAATGTTCTACCCAGTTAAAAATGGGCTAAGAAGCTGAATAAACATTTCTCCAAAGAAGATATACAAATGGCTAACAAGCATTTGAAAAGATGCTCAACATCATTCATTAGTCAATAAAACCTGTTGCCGTCGAGTCAATTTCAACTCATAATGGCCCTATAGGACAGAGCAGAACTGCCCCATAGGGTTTCTAGGGAGGGGCTGGTTAGATTTGAACTGCTAACCTTTTAGTTAACAGCCGAGCTCTTAAGCACTGTGCCACCAGGGCTCCCATCGGTCATTAGGGAAATGTAAACTAAAACCACAGTGAGATACCATTGGACATCACTATGATAGCTATAATCCAAAGGACAGGCAATAACAAGTATTGGTGAGGACATGGAGAAACTAGATGCCTCATGATGGCCGGTAGGAATTTAAAATGGTACAGCCACTGAAGAAAATAGTTTGTCAGTTTCTTAAAAAGTTAAACATAAATTTACCACATGACCCTGCAATTCGACTCCTAGGTATATACCCAAGAGAAACAAAAACATATGTCTACACAAAAATTTATAAACAAATGTTCATAGCAGCATCATTCATAATAGCCAAAAAGTAGAAACAACTCAAATGTCCATCAACTGATGAATGGATAAATAAAATGTATTATATACCTACAATGGTACATTATACAGAAATGAAAGAAATGATGTATTAATATAGGCTACAACATGAATGAACCTTGAAAACACTATATGAAGTGAAAAAGGCAGTGATAAAAGACCAAATAATGTATGATTCCATTTGTGGAAAATGTTCAGAATAGGCAAATCTATAGAGACAGAAAGTAGATTAGTGGTTGCTTAGGCCTAAAAAGGGGGAGTGTTGGGAACAGAATGGGAAGTGACAGCATGGGGTTTCTTTTGGGGGGTACAAAAATGTTCTAAAATTAGATTGCAGTGATGGTTGTACAACCCCGTGACTATACTAAAAAGCATTAAATTGCATACTTTGAATGAGTGAACTGTATTGATAGTATCTGAATTAAAGCTGTTCTATCAAAAGCAAAATGTTTGCTATCTGTCCTCATGGCTGTTGAATAACCACATCATGAAAGATTTTATATATATATATTAATTCTTTTTCTCACCTATAGTTAAAGCATTATAATGAATTATTAATGATTTCCAGTATCAGTATATTTCCTTTTGTACAAGTTAATTACTTTCTAAAGATTTATTTACCAATGATGTATCTAGGTGGATGTATAGTAGTCTGGATAAATATCAAAGCAGTGCATTTTCTTCCATGGTTTAACACGAAAACATACAATACTGATAATTCTAGAAAACATCAAAGAATGTCAATACTGACTGCTGCATTGCCAAGCCGGTTACATTTCCAAACTGGTGCTCTTTCTTGATAACACTAAGAAAGCCCTCCCAACCCAATTAGAATCAATAGCTAAGAACTCTGGGGTAACAGTTGCCTGGGAGATCAGGTGGGTTTGAGTAGAGAAGGCCAGGACTCCTCTTACTTCCTCCTGAGGAAGAGTGTCAGTAGAAAACAACAGGCCCAAGGTATCTTTACCGGGTCACAGTGCAAAGGGGTGCCATTTTCAGGTTATCAAAGAAAAAGCTTAAAGACCCAACTTCCATGGGGCAAGTTCTCCCTTTAGATTTGGTCTCCTACACTTTCAGGTCTGTGAATGGTCTCTTTTGGATGACTTCATCCCACGTGGTTGGTGAAGACTTACCACAATCTCCCACCTACAAAGGGTTGCTAGAGCAATCAAGTCTGACTCTCTGTGATAGACGTGGGCATTGATATTTTTTAATAGCCCCTCAAGTGATTTCCTATGTAGGAGCTAAGAACTACTCTTCTATATGGTGCCTTGCTATGGAATAGCTCAGTGTAGTTTATCAGACTCTACTGTATTAGACAGATACATTTCATTATTAACTGACATAATATTTGCCCTTGTAAGGGATACTTAGTTTTAAGAAGAGTGGTTTTGAATTTTTTCGTATGCAAAAGGCATGCATCTTTCCTTAATTATATACAGAATTAGATTGAGTAAATGTCTTATATTAATTTTAGATATGTGGGTATTCTGTGCAATTTAAAAATAAACATAAAATTTTTCACTTGCAAAGTAAAATTTTTTAAGACACTATTTATGCAAATAAATAAGATAACCACAGCAAGTGAACAATAAAGCCTCAATTTTCACTTTGTAAACACTGAGAATACATGGGAAATGGGTATGGCAACAAACAAAGCTTCCTCAATGATGTCTGACCATTATAAGTGACATACTTATTACCTTTTTAATAAAACCATGATGATACTTATTGGAAGAAAAAACTATGAAAGTTCCACAGACAATTTCCTTTTAGATAGCTAGCCCGCTAAGTAAACACGACATAATTTAAGTATTTTGATACTAATGATAATATGATGCTAGTAGGCATATATATTTTAAAATAAAATTAATTATATTAATGATAACAACCATTAGAGGTTTTTTATGTATGTGGAACCATGGTAATAAATGATTTGTGTGCATTTTCATTTAATCTTCAAAACGGTATAAAACAGGTACTGCCATTATACACTATTTTACAGAGTGGAAACTGGGGCTCAGAGAGGCTAAGTCATTTGCCCAAGGCTGCTCTAATTATAAGCAGAAGAACCACAATTTAAATGTGGTCTGGAGGAATCCAGCGCCCATGCACTTAACCTACTATGGTTAAGTCTCAAAATAACCCTGCGACTGGAAAAAGCATCCCCATTTTACAGTTTAGGAAACAGAGGTTCAGAAAAGTTAAATAACATGTCCAAGACCATAGATCCAGTACGTGCTCGGAGTTGAAAACCATGACCAGGCCCATCTCATGAGGGCTTAGTTTTAAAAGTGAAAATGAAAAAGCCTTAAAGTAGTAATAAGCTGTTTGTCAAACAACAGACATTCTGACTCTGCCTGGCATAGTGATATCTATTTAGACAACGATCACACAATTTGACATTGTTACAAGTAAGAAGGGTTTGCGTTTGGTTTAGCTGCATGATCAAGATCTCTCTCATACACAGATTATTAAACCCCAACAATGGGCTAGGCCTTTTCAAAATGTGAATCAAGGAGGTATGTAATGAAAATAACTACAGTAACAAAGAATAGTTGTGTTTGAGCCAAGAAAAGACTTAAAGACTTGGCTACATCATAAATGTCATATTTTAAGAGAAAAATAATTATAGAATATTAAGGGAAAAATATAAAACACTAATTTGAGAATTTTCCATGCTATTTTCTGCTTCTAACAAAATGAAATACGATCCTTAGGAAATATAATCGTAAGTTTTATGCTAGATATATAAACATGACTCCAAAGGCCAGGTATGAACCACCACTCGGCCTCATTGCCTGGAATAGATGGTCATGCATCATGCACACATACTCAAGGTAGCCACATCTTCATTCACTTGGAACGGATGGAAAAATTTTCTCAATTAACAGGATTTATTATGATGGAAAACTTGCATGGTTATATATCTTGGCCACTGTTGTTATAAAGGGCCATAAGGAGAGATTTATAGCAGAAATTTGTATAGAAACTGTCAGACAGAATCAGGAAGTCATTGTGTCTGCTGTGTAAGTCCAGCCGATTTTGTGCAACTCTTGTGTGTTGCATACTTTCTTGGGCATTAAAATGGCAACGAGAAATAGAGATGTGACTCAGTCATTCTCAAACATAATTAGTTTAACTAAGTAAGGAGAATTTTCCAGGAGTGTCATGCCATCCTTTTAAGGTGGCTATTTCACATGGAAGTCTAAGAACTGCATGAGAGGGAAAGAAAGGCGTGTGTTTTTATAGCAATAATTTATGGTTAGGGAAAACATTAGCATGACAATGTTATCTGGTTTAGGTACAAGATTTTGCAATTTACAGTGTACTTCTGAATTGTTATGTGTATGTGTCTGAACAATATCATTAGATAGGTATAAAAGAAGTTTCCCCACACCAAAGTCTATAGATCATTCCTGGAACTCAGCAGTTCCCCCCCACCCCAACCTAGTGTTTGATTTCTTGCCACTAATGCTTTTCCAGACTCAGAAGTATTAATGAGATAGAGGCTTTGATTGGATAGGGGAAGGGGGGCTGGGGAAAGACCACCCTTGTTTCCAGTGGCAAGAATCCAAAAAAATTAGCTTAGGAAACTGTTATAAGATTGGGCTCCCTTCAACTTCTACCAAAGATCTCCACACTTGGGCCACCCGCTGGATCCAGTGTAAGTGAACACAATTGGTAAAGTCTGGTTCCCTGTCAAGCTCCTCCAAGGACAGCAACCCATAATCTAAGAAAATATAAAGTCCTGTCCAAGTTTTGACTAAGTGAATCGCCAAAATCCACAACTTTCCCTGGCTTCCAAGGTCTGGGCAGTGATAAATATTTTCAGCTTAATAATGTACTGACTGATTACCACACTTTAATCTAAATGCCTTAAGAGGGTTCTACATTTGACTTCTAGTTCTAAAATTCTACAATGACAGGACTAAAAATCTTAACCAAAACCACATCCTTCATATTCTATTATTCCAGAGCTATCAATTTGTCACTACTCTACTTTGTGGCTTCTTCATTTAATATTTTCTTGCTATAAATACATCCATTTAAAGCTAATATTATGGTGGATAGAAGACTGGGAGTTCTTTTCAAACAAATACATAATCATACATAGAAGAATGTACTATTATCATTCATATGATCTTCAATGTCATTTCAGAGAGTTCTGTTTATGATGCTGTAATCAACTGGTTGGTCTATTATGAATGGTAATGACACAATTCCTTTAGTAGATTTAAAATATTAATTATATTTCTAGAAAAAAAGACTCTGGATCATACTGAGCATTTAAATAATGGTAAGAATAAGTTATAATAAATGCTTATATTATATACATATTGCTATAAATGCAATTATCAGTTTTAGATATATAGGTAACAAAGAAGGTTATCTACTCACTATCCAAGGCTGAGTAAAACACAGACTTTTCAAGTGTTTATTTTGCATTTCCATAAGCTACTTAGAGTGTGACAACAGTGACAGAAAATATATATTAGTGTTTGCACACTACAGTCTAAAACCATGGTACAATACCTTCACTGTGACTGAAGGGACAAGGTCAGTTCCCACTTCAACATCAGTGGCTTGCTGTAAACACAGAATCGAAAAAGGAGGGTAGGAAAGGGTGATTTCAATATTACACATCAATGAGTAAACACAATGGGTACAATTCTACTTTCCACCAAAAAAACAGGAAACTAACTATGAAGAATTTATCACTGTGATGACAGACTAGAAGAGTCAATGTGACTTTTTGGATACCTTCATCTGGAAAGTCATGAGCTAATATTTAAAACAGCCACCCCATAAATAGGAAACCAAAGGTCACATATTTTATCAAACCACTCTATTTCCAAATTTACTTAAGTGTTGAACCTAATTATTTCTATTAACTTGTTCTTTATATTGCATGGAAGAAGGCCTCCTTGTATTTCGCAGATAAAGATAATGCCATTCTTTCAGACGCTTGTATTTTTAACTTTCCAAAGGTATGTTTTATTCTGATTAATGACATGTAATGATATAGAGATTGAGTGCCCTTCCACAGAAAGTAAGTTTAAAACAGAAGTTTTTTTTGTTTTTTACTACTGTATATCATACACTAATTCAATAAGCATCCTTCAAGAATCAGCTTGGGTTACCAAGAAGAATAAGACATGGTCCTTCCTCTTAAAGAACTCACAGTATAATATAATAAAACAAACTATTTCTTTATAGCTTTTAATGTTTTTTAGAGTGGTAGACTGAAGGGGGGATATGCTTACTCTAGAATAGAATAAGACCAAGGAGTAACATATTTTCTGATAATACCGACATGAATTCCCATAAAGTCCCTATCAAACTAATAATCAGGTCCTTTGGGCTTTAATCTATTTGGAATTTTTCTTACTCAAGAAAAACCTAGCCACTTACAAGCAATAAGGATCACTATGATGTAAAGGACATCACCAGAATTAAGAGACGGGCAGTTCATATTTTATTTATGGCTCCACAGGAAACAGTATTTGAACTCTGATCCAGTGTCTCAATGAGGGAGATAGGATAGCAATGCTTGTCTCCTCTATAAAAGACTCCATTCTAATACAAATTACATTACTTTTTGAGATGTGTGCTTTCATAATAATGATTCAAAATTAATATTAAGCCAGACTTTCTGCTCTAGTATTACTTAAAATCCAAGAAATGGTTTACACTTAGCCATCCACAGATTTAGAAGAGAAACCAACATTTCCTGTTTTCTGCTCTTCTCAACCCATGCCTAAACACCTAGATACTTCAAGAACAGAAGTTCTTTGGGAACATAAAATTATAGCCAGAGAAAAATGGTCAGAAGAAGATACTATGGCACCTTAGACACATAAATCATTGTGCTAATGTTCTCCAGTGGGATGAATATGATACTCTCAAGAAATCTCTTAAGAAAGAAAAATAGCAAAACATGGAAAATGAGGCTGGAAAGAGACACCTAGTTGAGAGGAAATAGCACTCCAGGTTACCAAATATATATTACAATATAATGCTACTACATAACGTCCTTTCCTACAAAGACCAAAAGTTTCTAAAAAACAGAAAGGGAATTCCTCATTCCAAATAGCCTATGATTAAGAGAACCTAGAATAAACTATACAAGTTTCCCAAAGGAAAAAAAAAATCATTTCCAAGGCAAGAAAATGTGTGTACATTTGTCAGCTAACTAAGCAGAAATGTTCCACTCAGACTACACCCTTCAGGTAGAGTGAGAAATGGTGTGTGCTGAATGGCCAATGTTTAAAACAGTGCTTCTACTATGTGACTCAGCTGGGTGAATGTTTCTTTCATATATAGTCCCTTTTTTTTTTTTTTTAAGTGTACCCAATTTACCATGCTATGGCAATGGTAACGTGATTTTTATCACAACTCAGGCCGGCTGTTTATACTAAGATTAATCTCTAAAAAAACTCATGACAACCACTTATTATAGTATGCTCTGATGCCCAAATATTGAGGTCATGTCCCAAGCAGAATTTTATGATATAAACACCAAATACAGCAAAACCAGTGAATTCAATCCCTTGCCTAAACTGATCAACTTTTGGTGGAGACACAGATAAACAATAGATTTTGCCCAAATTGTAAGCAATGAGATATAACCAACCATAGCCAAATGTAGTCAAAGAAAAATAAACAAGGAAATGGAGTAATATAACCAAGAACAGTCATCTTTTCATTCCTCTTGTTTCTCAGTTTATTCATTCATTCATAGAATAAATATATACTGAGTGCCCACTATGTGGACAGGCACTAAGGATATGGCAGTGAACAATGCAAGTAGTGGGATGTAGGTGGTCATGATAATGATAATAATGTTAGAAGAAGTAAAATGTATGATGATTATTAATTTTCATAACAATTCAATAGAGTAGATTCTTTTATTACTTCCACTTTACAGAAGAGGACATTGAGACTAAGAAATTTAAGTAACTTGCCCTGGGTCACACAAAGTGGGTGGAAAAAATAGTTCCTGGATCAACTATCCACTCTTAAACTACTCACCCACTATCCCATAATGTATTAAGGACTAATTTATCAATCCCTGAGCTAGGTCATTCATAAGTATGATGTCAATGAATCTTTTTAAAAAATGCTGTGGGGTCATCTGGATTAGGATTAACTCAATACTCTGGAATTAAGAAAGTTTTTTTTTTTTTTAAAAAAAAAAAAAAAGATGTTAGCACAAAATAGAATCAGAACAAGGCAAGCATCTCTTCTGCTCCTGCTCCTCCTCCCCTTTTTCTGGCCCACTCATAAACAGAAATCCTCCCCAAGGATCTCCTAAGAGATCTAAGAGGCTAGAAATGTTTTTATCTAGTAAGTAACAAAGCCTAAAAATTTTATGCACCCAAACATTTCTATTTGGAGGTCTAGAATTTAAAATAATACTGTGATCCCAGTTAATAAGAGCCTACTACTATCATAAACCCCTTTGACATCTGCAAATACACCTACAGACTCTGAATCAAAATTAGGCGAAACCATGGCAGAAACTGTCAAGTCATCTTCTCTCTCAGTCATGGGCCAAACACCTGAGTGAAAAAGAAAAAAAGAAAAACATATGTAAATTAATATGAAGTAAAACCTGCAATATATAGCTTTTTTCTAAAAGTTTATTGATACTATATTTTAAATTAAAAAAAAAAAAAAACCACAGACATACTCACGAGTTGAAAAACCTAACGCAGTACAGAATCAGAAACTTGATGCTAATTCTTGTCCTCAACCATATTGTAAAGGAAAATTGTCTTAAAAAATATTTGCTAGGGTGTGACCCAGGGAATGAACAGTAGTGGGGAATAATGCACCCTCCTGAACTACTGATGGAAGCCCAAATTAGTACAATTCTTTTCACGGTAGTTTAGCTATAACTACCCCAGTGACGCAGTGGTTTAAGAGCTCGGCGGCTAAAAAAAAAGGTCAGCAGTTCAAATCCACCAGCAGCTCTCTGGAAACTCTATGGGACAGTTCCGCTCTGTCCTATAGGGTCATTATGAGTCAGAACTGACTTAACAGCAATGGGTTTGATTTTGGTTTTTTTATCAAAATGTAAAAAGTACATATTATCCTGTGACCTAACAATTCTACTCCCAAAAATTTATCTAATATTCACGGACATGTCCAAGGAGGTTCACTGCAACACTGTTGGTAGTTGTTTTTCTTTAAATTTAAAAAAATAAACTGAAAACAACCTAAATGGCTATATATCTCCTAATAGGGAAATGGTTAAACAAATCATGGTATATTTGTACTATGCAATGGTCCAAAATTATAAATAAAAGTGCTGTCAATCTTTATACCATTGATAGGAAAAGAACTCCAAGACATGCCCATTTTTTTAAAAGTGAGATGTAGAACAATAGGTACATATTCATGTAAAAAATTTTAAAATGTGAAAAATTCATAAACACATAGAAGACTACACAAAAATACTTGATAGGAATAACCTTTAAGGGATAGCACTAAGACTTGGAGTTGAAAGGAAATTTGTTTTTCATTATTTACCCTTTTAGTACTGCTTGAATTATTTTTATCACATACATGTTATTTTCACAATTTTAAAAATGTTTATGCACATAATGAGATATTTTGAACAAGTGACAGAGATCCTAAAGAAAAAAGAAACAAATAATATTTATACACATATGTGTGTGTATATGACACTATTGGCTGCCTACTCAACAGTCCTTCTTCCCTCCTCCTCCTTTTTTGGCAGAGCCCTAATTCTGTTGAGATATTCACCTCCATCTCAGGGAAAGTTACCTCTGCAAGGCCCCAGGGGAGAATCCCAATTGCTCAAATCCAATCATGGTGATTCCATTCTCTAGACCCTTTACTGTTTTAGGCATGAGCATGTGACTAAATGCTGGCAAATGGTATTTAAGGAAAGTTGGGAGTAGGGGGTGGTGGCATATGCTTCTCGGAAAACTATCCCTCCCTAATAAAAAGGGAGACTCAAGAGATATTTCTCTTCCTGGAAATCAGCATATCTGCACATAATGCCAGGAACTGCTGAAGTCATCCTGTGACTGTGAGAGGAAAGATTCCCCCACATGATGAGGATTGCTAACTAAAAATATGGAAAGCACTTGGATGACGCCACATGAATTAGCTGCCTCACAAAAAGAAGGGTCACCCACAGTTGCCATCAGGACCAAGGTGAGGACTAAGGTGCGCCTGACTCAAGCCATGATATTTTCAACTGTCTCATATGCATGCAAAAGCTGGACAATGAATAAGAAACACCGAAAAAGAATTGACACCTTTGAATTACGGTGTTGGCGAAGAATATTGAATATTGGACTGCCAAAAGAATGAACAAATCTGTCTTGGAAGAAGTACAGCCAGAACTGTCCTTGAAAACAAGGATGGCGAGACTTTGTCTCATGTGCTTTGGACATGTTACCAGGAGGAACCAGTCCCTGGAGAAAGACATCATGCTTGGTAAAATGGAGGGTAAGCAAAAAGGAGGAAGACCCTCAACGAGATAGATTGACACAGTTGCTACAGCAGTGGGCTCAAGCACAGCAAAGACTGTGAGGATGGCGCAGGACCAGGCACTGTTTCATTCTCTTAGCGAACTATGAGTTGCTATGAGTCGGAACCGACTCGACAGTACCTAACAACAACAACATTCCCACCAATAATGCAAGATTTGGAATGGGAATTTCCATTATTCAGTTAGTGAGAACATAAAAGGTTGCTCACTGCTCTCCCAATAACCATTCTTCAATTCTCCTTTACTGAAAGAACCCCCATTTTATAATGAGCAACAAAATGCTTAGCTATAACATATAATTTCCTAGTCTCTTTTGCAGCTTGGAGTGGCCAGTGAGATGTGAGTGGAAGTTGTTCAGGGAGTAGCTCATTAATGAGGCCGACTCAGCTGTCAATGTGATGACTGGAAAGCCAGAAGCTATCTTGACCAACAGATGACCCTAAGGAAGAATTGAACTGAACTACTAAGGAAGAAGGAAGAAGGAATCTGAGTCCCTGGTGACTGCACAGCTGCCAAATCAACCCTAGACTGCCCACCTTTGGACTTCTTTATATGAGAAAGAAATTAACCTCTACCTTGTTTAAGCTGGAGCCCTGGTGGCATAGTGTTTAACAGCTCAGCTGCTAACCAAAAGGTCAGCAGTTCAAATCTACCAGCTGCTCCTTGGAAACTCTATGGGGCAATCCTACTCTGTCCTATGGGGTTGCTATGAGTCAGAATCTACTTGACGGTAACGAGTTCAATTTTTTGGGTTGGTTTAAACTACCTTATTTGGATATCCTGTTATATGTGGCCAGACATAATCCTAAATGATATATTTTCCAACAAGGTCAACAAGTACAAATGTTTCTAATACTCAAAGGTTAGAGGCAACTTAGTTATTCCAGACATTATTCCCAATAGGATGCAGATTTTATTTATAGGTCCCAGATCTTACTGCTCTCTTTCTTCTAGATGACACAACTGTGCTGGAGTCTATCTCATCATGGCATCCATTCCTTCATACCCCACCCAAGTAGAGAACATGACCAACTGTCTAAATCATAAGGAAACTCCATCTTTGAGTGCCTGCTAGCACATGTTGTTGACTACTGGTAACCAAACTGCTAGGCAGGATTCACACTAATGAGCTGAATATGAAAAGCTTCAGAATCCATGAACCATATAGAAATTATTACTATAATTTCATGCTTAGCATGCATTCCTCATATAACTTAAACAAATAAAAATCAGCTTCAAAAAAACTTTTATTACAGTAGATAATATACACCATGTGTACAACAAAATATACTCTTTAAATTGGCTTTAAATTTTGCTGAGACTCTTGCTTTGAAAAAAAACTTTAAGTACTGAACATAAGCCACAAGACTGTGAACTATTCTTGCAAGTTAAAGACACTGTACTAAAATAAGTGCCATTGAAATGAATAATAAGGTCATCAAAAAGTTCAGACTTTTAACACTCTTAATCTGTTGTAACGAAATAATGTGGTGCTTTTATATAATTACAGGTATTCTAATTTTAAAAATGTATACAGTTTTATTTGGGTACAGAATACCAAATTTTTTTCCATATTGGGAAATAAAGTATTTTAAAAGCCTCCCTTTTTCAAAAGTTTCTCTTTGTTTCTTTTTCAGGAATAAAACCAAATGACAGTGGTATGAAACGGGCAGTGAACTTCAAATATTAACTGAAATTTGAGGTTATGTAAATAATGAACTCTGTACCCAAGTCTGTGGGTACATCCCTAGCTTAATTAGCAGTTATTTCAAGACACACATAAGGATCAAGAAAATGACAAGTAAAACAGCCTTAACCTTCTCACCCAAGGACATCACTATGGCTACCAAGAAACTACCTTTAGCTGTAAGTGATTTTCTGAGAAACTTTATACACAATTAGGTATTAATCAAAATATCATTAGCACATTGTTTATGGAAAGGGAAAAATCTCAAAACACAAAATCTGGAGTGAAAAGCCACAATAACTATTTAATGAACTCCGTAAATGTCAGGTTTCACATATATACGTCACCCTTCCTCAATTATATTTTTAGGAGACAAAACGAGATTTTTAATTTTATTAATCCCACAAATAGTAGTAGCAAAAACGGGGAAAATCTGTATATTGCAATGGGACACATCAAATTTTAACCATTCTCTATTTGACATGGGGGTGATGACATCAAAAAGATTTTTAAGTAATTGAAAATCCTTAAGAGACCTAAGTTCACTAGTTTACTTTCAAAACTTCCTAAAAGAAAGTGTGAAGTCAAAGTATAATAATTTTATTTTAATATTCATAATTTTAAAATATATTATCTAAATTTCTCAGGATCAGAAGAATATAATCTTGGCAACAGACTCAAAAAAATACAAAAATCTCGTAAAAGTGACTGGATCAGGATTCAGATTGGCTATGCTGCTTTGGTTGCCTTTGATGCTGTGCTTCTTTTATTATTCCTACTTGTTTTACATTTCTTTTATGTGAAAATAGTCCATATTTTTTCTCATTAAAAAAATACTTTTACCTGACCCTGAAAAGAGAACTTAAAGTAATGCTTTTCACACGTCCAACTCAAACTCCAGGGTTGGTGTTTTGTTTCTCCTTTTAATTTACAATAAAATTACACCCTTGTGAATCCCAAAGTAAGATAATATTGAGTTATTCAAACCCCAGGAACTGAAAATATCATCAGTCTCTGAGTCACTAGAAATCAGAACACGGCAGGCTACACTCCATTTGGATGGCTAATTAACTACAAACATAAATTATATCAGTGAGCTGTAAATGACTATATTTTTAGTAACAAATGGTAACCCATGTACTGCTTTGGTATCTTTTTGAAAGAAGTCACTAAAAATTTCAGAAGGGTATTAGACATTAATAAATTATCACTCTAAGAGTTAATGCTCTTCTCAAGACCTAAACCCACTACCAAAAGGAGTACTTGTTCCTTTTTTCAACGTTTAAAGAAAAATACAAGGTAGTGCTAACTCTAAAACACATTTACAAAAGCATTATCTTAAATACGACATATTTTTATTTCACACAAATTAAGCACAAAGGCCTTATGTGCTAATGATCAACATTGTTTTTACAGGTGTGATTTTATTAAGTCTAAGAAGAAACTTAACTATGTACAAAACATCATTCATATACAAAAAGATAATGTGAATTTTGCAACAAATACTGATAAAAATCAAATAATAAAAAGCTGCAAATGACATACCTTGTGTTTTGTTAACATCTCTAATGATTTTCTGAAGTTCCTTCAATTCTATATCAAGTTCATCATAGTTAAGTTCTCTAGATTCAACTTTTGGAGCTTGGAACAGAGAAGGGTCTGTCCCCAGGTATGAACATTGCAAGTGACCATCATCACTCAGAGTGACTATTACTCCCTTTAAATCACTACATAAAGAGAAAATGAGACATAATAAAAATTTAGGTGGATTTAGTCTTAACCAACTACATTGTTACTCAATTCAGCTTCAGCATACCATTAAGAAAAAGATTATATATTTATAATATTTATTTGTAATTATTTATATCTATTTTGAAAATTTTACTTCAAAGACCCGATTCAAATGTTTCAGCATAATTTGTATTTATAGAAGTGCTTCCAATGTTGATGACAGGAGAAAAAGCAGCCCCCTAACAATCACAATAGCTACCACTTATTGGAACCTAGGAGTCCCCAGGTAGTGCAAAAGTTATTGTGCTCCGCTGCCAAACCGAAAGGTTGGAGTTTCAAGTCCCCCCAGGGAACCTCAGAATAAAGGCCTGGTGATCTACTTCTGAAAAATCAACCATTGAAAACCCTATGGAGCACAGTTCTACTCTGAAACACTTGAGGTCACCATGAGTTGGATGCAACTCCACAGCAACCGGTTTCATTGAAACCTAACTACAAAGCAAATACTGCTCTAGAGTTTTTCAAGTACCGTACCATTTAAACAGAGCTTCCAGACTAAGACAGACTAGGAAGAAGGAGCTGGCTGCCTATGTCTGAAAAAAACTGGCCAGTGAAAACCTTATGAATAGCAGTGGAAATTATCTGATACTGTGCCAGAAGATAAGACCCTTAGGTTGGAAGGCACTCAAAATATGACTGGGGAAGAGATGCCTCCTCAAAGTAGAGTTGACCTTAATGACACTGATGGAGTCAAGCTTTTGGGACCATCATTTGTTGACATGGCATGACTTAAAATGAGAAGAAACAGCTGCAAACAACCATTAATAATTGGAACATGGAATGTACGAAGCATGAATCTAGGAAAATTGCAAATCATCAAAAGTGAAATGGAACCTATAAAGATTGATATCCTACACATTACTGAGCTGAAATGGACTGGTATTGGTCATTTTGAATTGGACAATAATATGGTCTACTGTGCCAGGAATGACAAATTGAAAAGAAATGGCGTTGCATTCATCATCAAAAAGAATATTTCAAGATCTATCCTGAAGTACAACGGGTGCGGGTCAGGGCGAAAAAAAAAAAAAAGATTTTTACCAACTTCTGCAGTCTGAAATTGATTAAACATGAAATCAAGATGCATTGATAATTACTGGTGATTGGAATGCGAAAGTTGGAAACAAAGAAGGATCGGTAGTTGGAAAATATAGCCTTGGTGACTGAAACAACGCTGGAGATCACATGATAGAATTTTGCAAGACCAACAGCTTCTTCATTGCAAATATCTTTTTTCAACAACATAAATGGCAATTATGCACGTGGACCTCACCAGATGGAATACACAGGAATCAAATTGACTATATCAGTGGAAAGAGACAACAGAGAAGCTCAATATCATCAGTCAGATCAAGGCCAGGGGCCAACTGTGGAACAGACCATCAACTGCTACTATGCAAGTTCAAGTTGAAGCTGAAGAAAATTAAAACAAGTCCATGAGAGTCAAAATACGACCTTGAGTATATCCCACCTGAATTTACAGACCATCTCAGGAACAGATTTGATGCGCTTAACACTAACGACCCAAGACAAGACAAGTTGTAGAATGACATCAAGGACATCATACATGAAGAAAGCAAGCAGCATTAAAAAGACAGGAAAGAAAGAAAAGACCAAAATGGATGTCAGAAGAGAATTTGAAACTTGCTCTTGAAAGTACAGTAGCTAAAGGGAATGGAAGAAATGATGTGGTAAAAGAGCTGAACAGAAAATCTGAAAGGGCAGATTGAGAAGACAAAGTATTATAATGAAATGTGCAAAGACCTGGAGTTAGAAAACCAAAAAGGAAGAACTTGTTCGGCATTTCTCAAGCTGAAAGAACTGAAGAAAAAAATCAAGCCTCGAGCTGCAATACTGAAAGATTCTACGAGGAAAATACTGAAGATGCAGGAAGCATCGGAAGAAGACGGAAGGAATACACAGAGTTATCGTACCAAAAAGAATTGGTCGACGTTGAACCATTTCAGGAGGTAGCATATGATCAAGAACCAGTGGTATCAAAGGAAGAAGTCCAAGCTGCACTGAAGGCAGTGGCAAAAAATAAGGCTCCAGAAATTGATGGAATACCAATTGAGATGTTTCAACAAATGGATGCAGCACTCGTCTATGCCAAAAAATTTGGAAGACAGCTGCCTGGCCAACCAGCTGGAAGAGATCCATATTTGTGCCCATTCCAAAGAAAGGTGATTCAACAGAATGCAGAAATTATCGAGCAATGTCATTAATATCATACACATAAAATTTTACTGAAGATAATTCAAAAGCAGTTGCAGCAACACATTGACAGAGAACTGCCAGAAACTCAAGCAGGGTTCAGAAGATGATGTGGAATGAGGGATATCATTGCTGATGTCAGATGGATCTTGGCCGAAAGCAGGGAATACCAGAAAGATGTTTACCTGTGTTCTATTGACTATGCAAAGGCATTTGACTTTGTCAATCATAACAAACTATAGATAACATTGTGAAGAATGTGAATTCTAGAACACTTAATTGTGCTCGTGAGGAACCTGTACATAGGCCAAGAGGTAGACCTGAGAACAAAACAAGGGATACTGCATGGTTTAAAATCAGGAAAGATGTGTGCCTGTATTGTAGCCTCTCACCATATTTATTCAATCTGTACGCTGAGCAGATAATCCGAGAAGCTGGACTATGAGAAGAAGAAAGCAACATCAGGATTGGAGGAAGACTCATTAACGACCTGCAATATACAGATGACACAACCTTGCTGGCTGAAAGTGAAGAGGACTTGAAACACTTACTGATGAAGATCAAAGAATACAGCCTTCAGTATGGATTGCACCTCAATATAAAGAAAACAAAAATCTTCACAACTGGACCAAAAAGCAACATCATGATAAATGGAGAAAAGATTGAAGCTGTCAAGGATTTTATTTTACTTGGATCCACAATCAACGCACTTGGAAGCAGCAGTCAAGAAATCAAATGACATATTGCATCGGGCAAATCTGCTGCAAAAGACCTCTATAAAGTGTTAAAAAAATAAATACTTCACTTTGAAGACCAAGATGTGCTTGACCCAAGCCATGGTATTTTCATTCACCTCATATGCATGTGAAAACTAGACAATGAATAAGGAAGACCTAAGAATTGATGCCTTTGAATTATGGCGTTGGCAAAGAATATTGACTATACCCTGGGCTGCCAGAAGAACAAACAAATCTGTCTTGGAAGAAGTACAGCCAGAATGTTCCTTAGAAGCAAGGCAACACTTCATCTCACGTATTTTGGACATGTTATCAGGAGGGACCTGTCCCTAGAGAAGGACATCATGCTTGGTAAAGTAGAGGGTCAGCGAAAAATAGGAAGACCCTGAACAAAATGGATTGACACAGTGGCTGCAACAATCGGCTCAAGCATAATGATTGTGAGGATGAAGCAGCATCGGGTAGTGTTTTGTTCTGTTGTAACATACTGTCACTATGAGTCGGAACCAACTTGATGTCACTTAACAACAGCAACATACCATTTCATCCTCATTCAAACTACATGTGGCAGATTCACAATAAACATGAGAACAACTCTTATAGAACTGCAATGGATGAAGAGATGAAGCTGGGCTGATGACTGGATGAAGACCGGGATTAAGGCCAGGAGGAAGCATAGGACAATCCAAGGAATGGAATGGCAAAGAAGGTTAGTGGGGAAGTCCTGGAAGGCCCTGAGGAAAACTGTGCCTCCTGCTCTTTCCTCTTCCTTTCCCTGCCTCTACTATTGGTACTCACGTTAGCTTCTTCCACACACACTCCTTCTCAAGTAGCCCTCTTGCTTGTTCTCGTTCTCTTCACTCAATAGATAGAAGTATTCCATCTTCCCACTAAGTAGCTCCTTCTCCATCACTTTTTTCATCCTGATTATCTCTTTTCTTTCCCACCCTCCCATTCTTCCTTCTCACTTAAGGCTCCCTTGTCTCTATTTTACTCTAGAACGTTGCTATAATATATAAATTATAGAAAATTTTAGCATGCCATTTTAAAAAACAAAATTGTAAGTTTTTCTAAACTGGCTATGAAAAGTAATTGAAATGAACACTGTATTTGCTTCCTCCCAAGAAAAAAATTCAAGTAATTATTTTGAGTTGATACACGATAGATTTGTTTGTTTGGTTTTTGGCTGGCTGGTTTTCTAGTGGCCTTTGATTTAAAAAAAAAGAAAAAAAAAGGTTTGTTCTCTGTTCTAAAGGTTAAATATTAATCAAAAATGCTAGAAAAGACAATAGGAAAAAATGGTACTATTTATCTGAAGAAGAGAAGGGGAGATGAGCTATCTAACAGAAGTTTAGGCCTTATGCAGGATGAAGAAGAATTTTTAAAACTCCCCAACTCTGAGTCTTGGCAAGTGATCAGCTTGTTAATCTTAATGCTCAACTGATTTCAGAGTAGAGAATATACTACTCAATCCTTCCCATAAAGTGGCCACTACCATCCACTTCACCACTTATCTTAACCAAAACATTTCCTCTACAGGGCTTAGGCACAGTCAGTGCCATGTAATCCTGTGGTGTGATTTCAGACAAATAAAAACTAGATTAGGATCACTGATCCAACAGCTAAAGTACAAGACTAGGAGTCTGAGACTGGAGTTCTAGCTCTGACTCTGCCCTTTCACAGCTGAGTCAACTTGGAAAACTCTTCCAAAATGTTCTTTACCTCTAAAATGAGAAGGTAGGACAAGATAACCCTCAAAGGTCCTTAACTTTTATGGATTAGTTCTGTCAGAAAATAAATACTCCTAAAGCAATATTATTTTCATAAAATAAAGTATGAAAAGCAACCCCATAGTACCTCTGGTCTTGACCCTTTCTTTGTAGGCAAACGAAGCCACCTAGTGGCCATGAAAATCCTAACTTGCAGTTCTGACGAGCCCATTTTCAGAGAACAAACCATTCCTACTGAGCTTTAAGGGTAGTCTG